TCTCAATAATTTAGACAACTCCATACCAGGTGCTGGAGATATAAAGTTGAATAAGACATGGCATCTGTTCTCATGAAAATCGCAGTCCAGAGGGAAGATATAATTGTAGATCATTATATACAGTATGATAGGTACTATAACAGAATTGGGTTCAGAATGCTTTAGCAGAATAGGTAAAAGGGCATTTTGCCCTTTCTCTGAGATTAAGGAAGGCTTCCCAGAGGAGATGGAGTTTGAGCTAACTGCCATTGGGGTTGGCAATTAAGGAGTCCATGGTGGTTTCAATTAAAGCAATTTCTACTGTAATGAGAGAGAAAAAATCCAGATTGCAGAGAATTAAGAAGTGAATGGAAAATGTAGAAATGGAGAGTCAATATAGATTACTTTCCCCAGAAAATGGTCTGCTAACTCTTCTTACTTGCTACCTCTGGGAAAAAATAAGGAATATCACATTACATAGCATAAGTAAGTCTAATGATAGCAATGGTTGTGTTTTGTTTTTTTTTCTAAGTGTGAGTGAATAAATTACATTCACTTGTACAAACTCAATAACATGAATCCTTTCGGCAAGAGCTTTAGCACCTGAAGGAGGGTTATATCTACACCTTTGCTATAAATATCTTTGATTCTGAATTCTTTTATTTTTCCTTTTTATTCTGGTGCTCCACAGTCTCATTTGCCAAGTGTACCCCAATGAAACTTTCTCTTTCCTTCCACTCTCTTCTTTTTCATAATTCTCTCTGTATTTCTAACAATATATCCTAAAGTGATTCAAATATTTTATTATCTATACTTTATTATTCTAATGCTAAATATTACCTACTGAATAAATTCCAAACTCCTTAGAGCATGCAAGACCATCCAGATTTTTGTTCCAACTTACTTTATCAACTTTTTCTTCCTGTAGCCTCCTCTTTCATGCCTCAACTGTACTTTTCCCTCTATGCATCCTGAACTTCCGGGCTTCCATTTCCTGATACTGTTGCCTCCACCTGCAATCTCCTATCTAGAAGTATCTGACATTCATTGTCTTACTCAGCTGTCATATTCTGCATACAAACCTTTCTTGACCTTCCTACATACAACTTTTTTCTCAACTCAGTATTTATATGTGCCTCTCTGAACCCTCCATTGATTCATTCATTCATTCAACAAACCTTTATTGAGTACTTAGTATGTGCCAGAAACTGAAATTGCCATTTTCTACTTTTTTCTCCATAGTTGAATAACTGTTTTGTCTCATCACTCCTCTCAGATTATAAATTCTTAGATATAAAAAATCATCTACTATAACTCTAGAAATATATTTTATGTTTTACATAGGGTAATTGTTCAACAAATGTGTTTATTTGGATTATATTCCTTTTTAAATATTTCTTTAGAAGTTATAAAACTATTTAATACTAACATACTTCCTTTACAACTTCTTGCTACTTTCCAACAATCTTTACTTTAAAATGTTCTTCACCTCCAGAACATTCTACCTCTTCACTTCCAACAGCAGAATTTGCTATCACTCCAGCTATTGAGAACGCAGATTAAAATCTATTTCCAAGGGACTATTTTTTATTAACCTAGCTTCATATATTCATGTACTCATTTTCTACATATTGTTCAATTACTATGTTAATTTGAATAAAATATGCATTTCTGAAACTTGCCTCTCTATGAGACTCCTTCCTCTGTTAAAGAAATCATCCAATCCAAATAGTGTAAACTCCAATACAAATCCAGTACATTTATCTGAATCCAAAGTTAATGGTTTGCTCTTCATAAAGATGTTACTCTGTAGTTTTCTGTCCTTTAGGTAAGACAAACATATTAAATAGTACCAAAATATTCAACTCTTCTAGAATTATAATATATAACCAGGTGATCTTTATTGACTAATCATCCAAAATGAATAGAAAAATAAATGCTACCAATAACTTGACCTCAAATATGAACAAGAGAGTAAATTTGAAAGTTGAATATCAATTCTACTGTTCTGTTATACACAATATCCAGCATTCAATTTTTAAAAGAAAGGATAAAGATCTATGTGAAAAGTTAATATAATCAATAGAGCCAGACCCAGAGATGTTAGAATTATCAGAGACTTTAAAAAGAGAAAAAAGAATAAAAATACATAAATTTCAAAATATTATAGTAACAATAAGACTGTCAGTTAACTTCTCAGAGAATCAGAGATCAGAATAAAATGAAATACCCTCTTTAAAGTGCTGAAAGTAAGAACAAACAAACAAAAAACATAGAACTAAAGCTTAATGAGAGAGAGAGAGAGAGAGAGAGAGAGAGAGAAAGAGAGAGAGAGAGAGAGAGAGAGAGAGAGAGAGAGAGACTATCACAAAAAGAATACACTAAAAAAAATCCTTAAGGGAGTTGATTAAGCAAAAGGAAAGTGACATATAAAATATTTAAATAAAGCATGAACTGGAGAGAAATATTTATCTGAGTGGTCATCTAGTTTACTTGAATGTTCAGTGTTGATAAGCTTACTATTTCCTGAGGTACCCTATTCTATCTATAACCATGGTACAAATGTCTTTATAATGAGTTGTAATTTGTAATCCTCTCAAATTTCTACCTTCTTGCCTCATTCTGTTGCAACAAATAATCTAATTTCTCTAACACACACTATAAACAACTACAGAATCCTCCAATGTAACAGAAATCGTTAATGATTTGGCCAAATATCCCTAGCATAAACCATTCATCACAAGGCATGCTCCAGTTCTTCTCTAATCCAGAATATTCTAAATGCCCCTCTCTTTCTCTGTATTTCTCAATGAGCATATCCCAATACATAATCCAGAATATTCTAAATGCCCCTCTCTTTCTCTGTATTTCTCAATGAGCATATCCCAACACATAAAACACAATCTTGTGGTAGCCAAAGCATTCTTGCTTCCTACATTCCATGTGTGCAGCAATGGCATTTATCTCTTCAGGGGAAGAGGGGATTCTGCAATTTATTAAAATATATAACTCCTAATTGAACCTCTGCGAAAATGCTAGCCTCAAGAAGGTAGGACTTATTTGTGTTCTCTCAAAGCTATTGTTCAGGAATATTAGGCTAGAAATGGTGCGCAGACAAGAATTGGCTAAAGAGATACCAGAGGCTATTTCAACAGATAGTGGACAGTATGGACTAAAGTTGTGACCTTTGGCATGTCAAGAAAGGAAAGCTTGGAGAAATGGGATATTGATGGGGTATATTAATTGAGTGAAGATGTGTGGACAATAGAAGTGATAAGTCAATGATGAACATGACTTTTCAAGTCTGAGAAATAAAGAGGATGAGAAAAAATATGGATGTCAGGAAGGATGCCTTGTAGTTTGGAGACATGTTATGCTATAATTTAAATGTATTACATATTCATGCAAGTATAGAAATAAGATGAGAGCTTTTGTTAGAGGATAAGGATGCTTTTACTTTGCTATATGGTAGCTCAAGCCATGAAACCAGGGAACAAAGAGCTTATCATTGTCCTCTAGCCAAAGACCTTCAGGGACATACCTACAGTAGAACAAGTTAGATTAACTGCTTGTTGCAGATAAGGGAGACAACATACTGTAGAGAATGTGTGGCATTTCAGTTGGAGGATGTTAGAAAGGACTTACAGGATTGGGCTTCAGATTTCAGGGAGGAGGGTTCAAGAAAGTGGGACTTGGAATTGGATGCTATGAGAGTAATTCTATGATTGGGCATCTTAAGAAGTCTTATCTAGGAGGGAAGGCAAGAACAAAGCTGAAGCTGTAATTTGTAAAGAAACAACAGTTATCAGTGTTAGTTAGCTAGAATGGGGAATGTTTTACTATTTTTGTGGTTTGCAATGACTTTGGTTTTATTTATGCTTGGACAAAATTACCAAGTGCAAAGGAGAGCAAGGTTTTCTTTTTGTCTCATTTTTCTGTGGTTATAGAGTGGCCTTGTCTATCGCTGGAGTTCAGTGACACTGTTTACACTTGACATTTAGGTCTAACTATGAGTGCCAGGTGAACTCCTAAAGACATCAGAGCCTTGCTGGAAGTGCCCAGCCAGTGTACAAGTGTGAGAGATTGTTTTTTCTCTCGCAGGCCCTGGACTTAGCCTTGGAGAACTACCGTGGAGGTTGGATTAGGCAGAGAAGACAGTTACAGAGGTTGAGAAGCAGTCAAGAGGAGATGGGAAATGATGATAGTTGGGTACCAAGGAGTCTTGGCGAAGAGTGTTCAACATTGCTAAGGATATTCAAAACTATTAAGAGTGCTTGTAACTCAGAGGGGAAAAAAGGAGTAAAAACACCATTGAATCAAGGCATCGCTGATGATCTTAAGGGAGATGTTTATGGGGCCACAGGTCAGATTTCAAGGCCATGAAGAAGTGGAAGCTATGGGTGGAGATCACTCATTTAAAAAGTTCGTGGTGAAAAGGAGAGTAAGGGAATGTTAACTGGGAGATTTTGTGAAACCAATTTCAGGAGGTTTCTTTCTCTCCCTAAAATAGAGGTTACCATTATGTGCTTGAAGCTGAGGAGAAGAAGCCATTGGAAATACAAAGAGTAAAGATGCTAGTAGAGCAGTGAAAACCAGAGAATAAAAAGTCTGAAACCGAGCCGAAACCGGTTTGGCTCAATGGATAGAGCGTCGGCTTGGGGACTGAAGGGACCCGGGTTCGATTCCAGTCAAGGGCATGTACCTTGGTTGCGGGCATATTCCCAGTAGGGGGTGTGCAAGAAGCAGTTGATTGATGACTCTCTCTCATCGATGTTTCTAACTCTCTATCTCTTTCCCTTCCTCTCTGTACAAAATCAATAAAATATTAAAAAAAAAAAAAAAGTCTGAAACCGAAACCTTCAGAGGATATGTTTGTCCTGGCGAGGGATGGGAGTCCTTGTCCTCCTGAACCAAGCAGAGGAAGCATTGGTGCAGACGGAGAAATCTTGAGTTGGAAGGCAGGGCAGATGAAGGAATGGATGGATGACAGGTAAAGTCTTTTCTTTTTTATTCTTTTGCAGTGAAGTTAGAAACAAGGTCACCAGCCAGGTTTGGGAGAAAGGAGATGAAAGAGCCTGGAGGTGTGAGTCATCTGTTGAGAAGTTGTCTGGTGAATCAACAAAAGATGCTATTTTCTATAAAGTCCTCCATTTTATTTTTTTTTAAATGCAACTGTTGCTGTATACAGTGGATTTGTGGAGGATTTAGTGGTGAGAACCCATTTATTCTCTAAAATTAACGGTATGACACAAACAAGCCTTTTCTTGGGGTACTAGTGCTAGATTAAATATTATTTGATACAAATAATCTGTAACTTTTAATTTGGCTTTTGGACTGTCTCCGAAAGGAAAAACACCTTGCTATTTTTCAAAACTGAATAGAATATCAACCAGGGACAACAGCCATCCAGTAGGATGAGTTCCACAGTTCCTGGAGCAAAGAAAGTTAACAGTAACATCTCCACTTCGTCACCCTTGAATTCTGTGTCTGTGTATCTAAATAACTGGATGTCTCCTCATTCCTGGGATGAGGTGTGATTGAGAGATAACTTACCCAGAGGCGGCAGTAGCCCATGCTCTTGTGAGCATCAAAAGGAGATGAAGCCTGATTAACCATTTTGAAATCTATCGGATGAGGAGAAGTCCTTACAAAACAACTTTTATACGCTTTAATTAAAAACGTGTTCCGGCAGCTCAGAGCTGAATGGGCTTCAGGGCGAGCAGGGCTGAGCGCGTTGCTATGACGACACCAAATCTTTTCACGCCTGGCCCTTCCTCTAAGCACACTGTCTAGCTCTCTCCAGCCACTAATTGCCTCCGTCCCATCCCTCACTCCCTCAGTCCCTTGGCCTGTGAGTCTATCTAAGAACCGATCTTTTCTGCTTTTTCCGCTGTGGTACCTCTCTCGGGTTCCCCCCCCCCACCCCCCTATCTTTTCATCCCTTACATTTCCCCAGCAATCTCTAGTTTCTTGTCTCTCTTGAAAACAAGTTTATTCCCTGAGTTGAAAACACAGGAACACACACACACACACACAAAGTCACGGCATGGTAATTATTAGTTATTACCCCTCAAGATGAAATGATAAATGTATTTTTAGGGGCCTTGACTGTAGTCAAGAATGATCTATGTTCTACTTTTTTTTTTTTTTCAGGTTGAACACTGGCTACTACGCCACCCTTCCTGTTGCTGAAGACACGGCTAAAACAAAAAGGGCTATGTTTTACTCTATTAAAGGTAATTATTAAAACACAGATTATTCCACAAACAGTATTGTCTGGTAATAGTTGCAAGCCTCCATTAAAATATGACCTCAAAAAATGCAGCCCTTGTTTTATTTAAGGAGGCTATTTGAATATCGTCAAAGTTCTACTCATTCAAGAACTTAAACAAGCCAAGACTGGTTTGGCTCAGTGGATAGAGCATCGTCCTGCGGACTGAAGGTCCCAGGTTCGATTTCGGCCAAGGGCATGTACATTGGTTGCGGGCACATCCCCAGTAGGGGGTGTGCAGGAGGCAGCTGGTCAATTTTTCTAGCTCTCTATCCTTCTCCCTTCCTCTCTGTAAAAAATAATAAAATATATATTTTTTAAAAAACTTAAACAAAACCCAACACTTTCACTTACTATCACATGAAACAAGATTTGGTAGAACTTGGCCATCTCAGAACCCAACCACCAACTTGTTAGGAGCTGATATCTTTGCAATTTTGTTTTCATTGCATCAATATGGAGTATGATATAATTACACAACTTCTTAATGTTACTCTTTGAGTTATCAGAGGCCTTACAAGCTTTCATTTTGATTACAATTTCCCTTTTCCTTTTCACCTATTATGTTTTCTGAGATGAGGTAGGTGAGTGGAATGCAGTGGAAATCATTTTTCATTTGCTCTCCCTACTTACCTCACAATCTGTTCCTACTGTGATTATACTTCCAAAATAAAATAGTTATCAGGTTGTTAAGCATTTCCTCTAAGTGCCTGACTCAGTCAAGGTGTTGTAACTTAAGATATGGGTGTGGTCTGGAGTGTTACATGGCCCAGTGGTCACCACACAGAAAAGGGGTGAGTCCTTGGGAGCCCAGAGTCTGGTTTTGGGTCTCAGACTCCAAATTATAATGCAGCTTTGAAGCCTCAGCTTCTGCACCTCTGAGATTGAAATGTGAAAGTTTAGCTTTTCTTCAGACATTTTCTAATGAATTTACTTGGTCTCTTTGCTATATTATATTCCAACAGGTTTCTGATAAGCCACATGTAAATCTGTGAGGCACAAGTTAACAAGTACTCTAAACTCTCTCCAGGATGACAAAGAGAATTTTTTCTAAATGACCCAACCCCTAGGTTGGTTTCTAGATCCTGTTCTTATGATAAGCACTTACATATTTTAAGAAGCTGAGGTCACCTTTGACTTCTGACAATAGTCATATTCATAAATGCGGAAGTTGCCCTGGCCAGTGAGCTCAGTTAGTTAAAGTCTCATCCCAATATACCAAGTTGCCAGTTCAATCCCTGGTCAGGACACATACAAAAATCAACCAAATAAATGCATAAACAAGTGGAACAACAAACAAATGTTTCTCTCTCCTCCTTCTCCTCCACATCTTCCTCCTCTTTCTCTCTCTCTCTCTTTCTCTCTCTCTCTCTCAAATCAATAAATAAATTTAAAAGCTGAGGAAGTTGCATGATGTAACTCTTAATATTTGAGTGACATTGCACAACACAAATGGACCAAGCCCCCTGTTTATAATGCTGGTGTGATTAAAAGAAAATATTAAGGTTTAATTTTATTTTTCCTTCTCAGTATTAAGGATATAAAGCCAAATGTTTATACCTGGGGTGCTGCATTTGGATCAATCCTAGGTGGTACCTAAGGAAAGTACATGTGTATAGATTGGCTAAATAAGTAGTTAGAGGGGCAGGCATTCAGGTACCTGAACAGGTCTGAGACCTAATGAAAATGAATCTTCAAAGAGGCATACAGTAAATATAAGTGGATTTTATATAAATATCAGAGAAAATATTCTGTTGGCAAAATGTTTTGCCCTGTGAATATAGTGCTTCTCCATTATTATTGGAGAACACAGACAATGGGAGTCCGTCAATTCTTGACATTGGTGGGTGGACTAGACAACGTAAGTATTTTCCATCACTACATGCTATGGTCCCATGATCCAGTTACTCTCAAGGTTCAACGGGTTGTACCTTTAATAACATTGAATTCTCGTTTCTACTGAAATGTTTTGCTCCTAATTTTGTTTCTTGGCAAAAGACATGAAAGTTGTGGGATCTTTTGTTTAGTAATTTATCCATCCTGTGGTGCCCAACTCATCAGAAGTCGTCATCTTTCATGTGTGCTCTGGCACGAGGCAAATTGTTTATGTGATAAACCACAGCACTGTCCTGTGGCTTCTGTGGTCTATTGGATATGTCAGAATTAAAGCTTTTTGGGTGGCTGTTTTGAGCATATTGTTATTCATGGAATAGTTCTTACACTGAGTCTAGAATGTGGTTACTCTGAAGTCTTCAAAGTAGTCATAAAAATTAATTCCCAACTGGCTATATCTACATAGAACTATTCTGGGCATACATGTTGTGTTAAACTATTCAGAAGGTTAATTTTTGAAAATCTGAATCGCTGCTACATTTATCCCGCATAAATGCCTGTCCCTCCCCAGTATTTCTAACCATGTGGAATGAGAAGGCAGAGGAAGTGCAGCAGCCTGCCAGGTGTAGAATGTTGTGTCACAGCGAAGGACAAAGATTAAGCCTCCATTTGATGGTACAGAAGAGATTTTATAAAAGGTGACTGAAGTGACACCACACTGTACATGTGTTGGTCAGCAAGATTCAAACCTATTCTTTAATAAGTTCATGACAATTGGGGTAAGGGTCCAGAAGATAAGTCACTCACTCTTGAATAACTTGTAATACATATTTGGAGTTTAATAGTGCATGAATGAATAGCATTACTCATAGATTTCTTTGCTAGAGATTCAGAATATCTTCAAGGTAAATGTTTTATATTTTTTATGTAAATGAAAACCATAAAGATCTCACAAAAGTAAATATGTTATGTTTTCATGTAAGTTACATTCAGGATGCTCTTCGTCTATAAGAAAAAAAAGGATGGGGAAGGGAAAGGAAAAGGAAAGGAGAAAGAACGGAAATACTCTCTTTAGTCTTACCTATCACAAGGGAATCTCTCTTTCCCAAGCACCTACGCTTAAAAATGGAATGTTTTCTTGATTTGGGGACAGTTTGGTGAACACACACACACACCCTGCGTCCTGTTTGCTCTAATTCCCCAAGAGAAAGCTGAAGGGCAGTGGATCCCTGGAAGACTGGGAGAGTCATGGTTAATGGACAGGAACTGAATCTTGGGTACTACTGTTGTGCATTCCATAAGTGTTCTTGAAAAAGAAAAAGCACTTTAAATTCTGCCATCATTATTCTTTATCTGACTGCAATAAAGCTGCAATGCATACTTTTCTCAGTAATGGGTGAGAACACAGGGCTGTGTAGGAACTAGCCCGGTAATTCTCTCTCTCTCTCTCTCTCTCTCTCTCTCTCTCTCTCTCTCTCTCTCTCTCTCTCTCTCTCACTCACACACACACACACACACACACACACACACACACACACACACACACACACTGAGGCCGAGGCACGTGACAAAGCTGGCTTAGCCACTGTGCACCCAGGAGAGCAGGGAAGCGGGGCTGAGAGGGCCAGGTTGGCAGTGGGACCTCGGAGGGAGTGTCCACCAAGGAGCAGGGGGCGGCACTGCACGGAGCCGGGAGCCCGGAGCCGGGAGCCCGGGTTGCGGGGCCAGACGTGGCGCCCACCGTCACGGCTCAGGGTCCCGGAACGCCGATCGGAGCCGATGGCGGCGTGAAAGCTCGTGGGCCCCGGGCCAGGCGATAAAAACCCGTTCATCTGCGCGGGTGGCGGTGAAGCTGGCCCTGAGCCCGGGCGCCTGGTGGACGGCGGGTGTTAGGATCCTCCCCGCTCAGTGGGGCGTCGGGGGCCGCGGTGCCCCTCGGGCTCGGGGTGCGGGGACTGCTCGGCAGCCGGGACGGCACGGAAGACTGTCAACGCCCGTCCCTCAGGGATGCCTGCAGAGGGAGACGCGGAAAATACACCAAACCCGGGAGCCACCCGCCCCGCCCCGCGCGGCTGCTGCCGGCCGCGTCCCCTGTCTCGGCGGGGACCCGCACCCCGCGCCCCGCGCCCCCGGGACCGAGGAGCGGCCTCCCCGGCCCGGCCGGCCGGGCCCGAGCCCGGAGCGGGTCCCCGGAGCCGCCTCGCCCTCCGGCAGCCCCGCCCGGCCGGCCCTCGGGCGGATGGAGTCCCGCTTTGCTCTTTTCGTTGGCCAAGCACAATTGCGTTATTGGAGATAATGAATTCAATCCCCATCAAAGGGCATTAGGCTCGCCCGGGCCCTGGAGTTGCTGATGCCTAAAAAAAAAAAAAAAAAAAAAAAAAAAAAAAAAAAAAAAAAATCCTCTGGGGGAGCCTTCCCCTGATCGCCGCGTTTGAAGTGGAGGGCCGGGCATTGTTGTTCACCTCGCGGCCCATGCGGCGGGGAAAGCGCGGCTTTTTCTGGGCTGAGAACCGCCTCGCAGAGCCCCGCGCCGGGCCCACGGGCAGCCTGGGCTCCGCCTCCCGGGCGCCTGGCGGGCGGGGCGCAGCCCGGGTGGGGGGGGGGCCTGGGGAGAAGGTGGAGGGGGAGCTTCGGGCGCTGGGCCCTGGGGCCTGGGGCCTGGGGTCTGGGGGCCGGGACACGGAAAGGCTTGCTCCCAAAGCCCCAGGCCTCCCCCCGGGCCGCGGGGCCCCGCGCCCACTGGGTGGCCCAGTGAGACCTGGGCTGGAGGTCAGACTGGCTTTGAAATGAGCGCGGAGAAGGCGGGGGTCTCGCTGAGTGCCAGTGGCCAGGGTGGGTGCCTGCAGGTCTGTTTTCAGCCGCTGGGCCCAGCCTGTAGGGAGCCTGGCTCAGCTAGAGCTCGGTGGGTCTGGAAGGTGCACCCCGCAGGGAGGCCCCCAGGACAGCAGTTACCATCGTCACCGGTGACCACACCGCGGCCCGGGGCGCCGCGGGAGGGGAGCCGGACACTCCGCCCCGCGGGGATGTTTCTCCGGCGGCGTCCGCGGCGTCTGGCCTCGCAGTTCTGAACCCAGGAAAGCACATTAGCATCAGATAACATTAAAAATAACAACAACAACAACATGTTGCCAGCATTTGTTTGTCTTTGGTGCTTGCAACGTGAACTTTCCTCACTTCCATTCCCATGCGCTCCGCATCCCCAGCCCCGCCCGCCTCTAACTCCTTTGGCCCAAGGGTCAAGACTAC